TAAAATGTTATAATATTTTTATAGCTAAAACCTACTTGAGTAATACAGTAACCAATCCGAAATTTCTGTTAGCTATGCGCACAGAGTATAAACTAGTCCAAAAGGCAAACACTGTTAATTCTAGCTGCCAGCTAGTTTGTGGTGCTAGTTCTTGTGCATTTGTTCGCCGCTTGCTAAATTACAGGATAACGCCCAGCAAAGTTAATCAATCATGCACACGCTGAACTTTTTATATAATCAAAGCATACTTTTAGGTGTTCCGCAGCTGTTGCTGCTGCTCCTGCCGCTGCTGCGAATTGGCGTCGTGTAGGAAAACTTTGATGAATTGTGCGCTGTAGTGCTGCATGCTAATGAAAGAATTCGATTTATTTAGGCCACGCCCACATAAATCTGTTTTCGGCAACTTTGTGGCTGCTCTTTGCCATAAGAACGAGACATAATAGAGCGTGCTCCAAACTGAAACTGGAGATGAAGCTGGAGCTGCCTTGGTGGCTGCGCTGCCATTACGCGCCGAGCTCGAGCAGACCACATAACAATCATGACTGTTCCTTAAAGTTTGCAGCAGCAGCGGCAGCAGCGCCAACAACAACATAAATTCATTAGTTGCTAGACAACGGATTGCAGCGAAGGAGCAGCATCGCAGGACTCTGCATCAGCTCCTTGTGCACTTATCCCCCCGCTCTCTCTCCCTAAACCCACTGCACTGCTCCTTTAAGTAGCTACAAAATTTATGACGTCACTTTTAGTTGGTCGACGACTTTATTTCACTCGTAGAGGAGCAGCAGAAGAATGCTGAAAATGGAGCATTCAACTTATTTCTTGTTTTACACTTCGCAATCGACCCAGCAGCGAGCCGCACTGTGGGCAGCGTAGGATGCATAAACCATGAAGCCTCCAGCGACCTGATAAGCAAAAGACTTTGCTTACATAATGAGAGTTTCGCTGAAATAGGAGCGCCATCTGTTGGAAATTATTATTTGTCATTTGAAACTGTAAACTGCAATGAAGTGGCTGGGAAACCTAAGCTGCTGAAGAGCTTAGAACTAACTGAGCTAGTTATGTTCTATAAGACAGTTTTCCTTAAATAGCATCTTTTTCCATACTCTCTTCTTTTTTTTTTTTTGCATGGTAATTTTTATAATCCCTCCCACTAGTTCCCTTCAAGTCAAAGAGTTTGCAGCAAATGTGCGATATTTGCGATTTACGTGTCCATAAGTCGGCTACTTGATATATATCTACATACCTGCTGGCATTTCACTGTTGTCACACGCACCCAACCGCATGATGGCTGGGAGTTCGTCCTCCGGCCACATGGGGACGGACACGCCAGACACCATACAACGCTCGCTCTTTGGGGAATATAAAATGCTTGTGTTATGTTCTGATTTTGTCTTTTATGACCCCGATGTGAACGATTATGGCGGCAAATGGAGCCGTAGCTGTTGATGTTGATGTTGATGTTGGGGGCGGGTGGGCCGATGTACGCTGTTTGTCAGAGCCAAGGTGTTAAAAGAACGTCATGCACAATCTCTCTCTCTCTCTCTCTCTCTCTTTCTCGCTCTCCCTCTTTTTTTCTTAGATGCATTTACCCATAACGGTGTGCCGTGCACACATCTACTGTCAGCTGCCACAGCGTGTCAGATTTGCTTTCGCCTGACAGGCGTCGCGCAGACGTGCCAAGGATAACGCCAGAGCATAGAGAGTGTCACACAAAACTTTGTCGCCCAAGGAAGAGGGGCTGTGCGCGGCGGGGGCGGTGGCAATCGGGGCGTGACAGCAGCTGCTGCTGCTGCTGCTACTGCTCTGCTTTAAATACAAATGATTATTATATGCAGTCGTTCGGTCAGCGTGGACAGCGCCAAATCCAATCAACGCTGCGTATACTTGATGGCGACAGTGGCTATGAACCGTGGCTCTTACATTGCGGCAAATTCGATTTGCCAAGATCAAAGCAACAAGCAAACAGCCACTTGAGGCACGCAGCAGCAGCAGTTGTTGGCTTGCAGTGGCTATGATGGAATGAGACATACCCTATTTTAATATAAAAACTCCAATGAGGAGGGGGGCTAAAGATATGTGAGAGTTTTAATGTATGCAGCCGAATTGCAGCTATATTTTCAAAGCTAAAATGAAATACAATTGAAATGTGAAATATCCTACCTTTTTGTCCTTTTTAGTCAAATTAAATATATTTCACTTTTCAGCTCGTTTTATTTATTAAATTATTATTATTT